AGTGTACGGCCAGTATGCATGTGTGGGCTTAGGCTCATGCAGAGGGACGCGGTGCAGAAATGAGAAGTAACGAGGAAAAACATGCAAGAAGACGTGGGGGGTGAAACACAAAGAAGAGCAGCGGCACATCTATCACCAAAAAAAAAACAATAAGAACCGCAGTTCCTCGGACGTCTCGCTGTGATGGATACTGGCACCCCAAAAGAGAGATAAATCTGCTTCATCCCTGAAAAATCCCCGCCGTGCCTGCAGCTACACCGGGGTGTATGTGCACATCTCCATCTGTACATGCAGAAGCTTTTGTGCCTGCGTGCTTAAACAGAAGCGAAGGGAATAACGTCTGCGGCCTCGGTGCCACGTAGAGACAGAGAGAGAAAGAAAGCAAAAAATAAAACAATGAAACAATAACATATGAAGAAAAAAAAATGCGCACGCTGCCGGGGAAGGAAACAAATAAAGACGCCCACAACAATGACAACGATGGAAGCTGCCAACAAAAAAAAAGGGGGGAAAAAACGCACAGTGGCAAGAGGAAGGAAAGAGAGGGAATGGCTGCTGCAGCGCCTACGCCATCACCGCCGCCTCAAGCTGCGCACGCACCTCCTCGAGGAGCTTCTCCGTCGAATTTGCCTCCCGTGACTGCCGCGCAGACTCGTCCCTGAGTCGCCTCACAACTTCCTGCAGCTGCACCGCGCGACGTTTGTCGGCGGCTTTGGACTTTAAACCCCGCTGATCCTCCACCTGGCGCGGTAAATGAAGTTTCTCCCGTAGTTTTCGCTCCTTCGCCTCCTGCGCAGGCAGGTGGCCGCGTAGTTGCTCCCGTTGACGCTCATTTTCTTGCAGTGCAGTGCGGGTGGACTCCCGCTCCTCTTCGGTCGTGCGCTGACGGTCCCACAGCGCTGTCAGCTCCCGCTGTTTGTCCGCCAACTTCTGGCGGGTGTCCTCGTGCGCGTGCAGCTCAGTGTTTAGCTTCTCGGCGGCATCCTCCGCATCTTGGCGTTGCCGCCAAAGTTCCTCGCTCAGCCGTTGAATATGAGCCTGCAGCTCGCCCACCATGATGTTTCCCTCCCCATTAGTGTTCCACTGCAACGGTGGCACCGGTTGCCACATCCCCTGCCGGAGTGCCTCCTCAAGTGCCACCTCCAGCTCCCCGATTCGCCGCTGAGCCGCCGCCAGCTGTGCCTCGGGCACGCCTGCTTTGTCCATCTGCAGCGCCGAGGAGGTGTAGTGGTTTGGCGCGTTTGCAGTACGGAATTTGTCCAGCTCCTCCTTCACATAGCGCAACTCCTCCTGCGTGGCTCGGAGGTCGTCCTCCAGCAACTGCAGCTGCGCCGCCGTCGGGTTCTCGTGCAGCGCCCGCCAAAGACGCTGTTCGAGATCCACAATTTTCGCGGTGGAGTCCTCCACCGCTGCCTCATCTTCGAGAGGGCCCATGGAAGCATCGTCGGTGGGACTGAGAGCAAGAAGCTGCGGCGTACGGGGACGAACGTCCCGCGACGTCAAGTGCGATGGGGAGCTTGCGGACGACCGCCGCGAGGTGTGCAGCTGCACACCAGCCTCGGTGATCGCCAGGTTGAGCTTCTCCAGTTCCCGCTGACGCCTCTCGAGCTCCTTCTGCGTCTCATGCTTGCCGCTCTCCAGCTCCTGCAGCCGTTGCAGCGTGCGGCCGTGTTCCCCCCGAAGTTCCTCCAGTGCAGCCTGCAGCTTGCGGTGGGCAGCGTCGGCGCGCTGTTTCTCCTTCAAGCCGGTGTCGCGGTTTTTCAGCGCGTCCTTCAGCTCTTGCACTTGCTCGGCCGTCAGGCGGGTAACCATGCCTTCCGACTTGCCGTAGCTGCAAAGGATGGCGGCGTGCAACGTCACGATGGAGTCTTCCGCGAAGGACCAAATGGCGCCTGTGCCGCTAAGAGCCTCCACATCCTCCGTCGTACGGCTGTCCCCTGCGTCGTTGTCGTCCTCCGCCGCCGACTCGTCAAGGAGGGAGTGCGCCGTCTCTCCAGCCTTATTGCTGGCCGGCGTTGATCGCCCCTCTAGCATCGCGCGCAACCGTCCCTCCTCCACAGCGTACCTCTGCAACGCCCGCTGCAGCGCCGCAAGCTGATCCTCCATGCCGGTGATGTCGGCCCGCTCGTTCAGGTGCTTCGCGTCGTAGGTAGCGAGTTTCTCGGCTGTGCTGGACGTCTCCAGCTGCGCCACCACCCACTGCTGCAGGTAGCCCAGAGCATGGCTGCCACTCATGGCATCCCCGTACGTGAAGCCGGGGTTGGACAGAAACTGCCTCTGGATGTTCTCTTTGGTCGCTGCACTCAGCTTGGCGGGATCAAACTGCGCCACCGTGCGCACAAACTCCGGGCTGCGGATGACGCCTTTAATCTGCGTCCACGTCACACACTTCTCCCCGATAACAGTGAGCACCGCCCTCATGACGAGCACGACAACGCGTGGAGGGTTGGGGTAGCAGCGGATCTCGCGCCAGTCCCTTGCCTCAACCTCACTGATGCGGGCACGGACGTCTGTGAGCATTTGCTCCGCAGCGCTCGCTGCGTTCTCAATCTGCCGTCGCAAAAACGCATACGCCACCTGCCTTGCCGCAAGCGCCTTCTGTACTGCCTCCATCTCCTCTTGCACACGTGCACGCAGGTGCTGCAGCTCTTCGAGTCGTGCCACCGCCCGTTCCCTCTCGTCCGGTGGCACCAAAGCGCCACCCGGCACCTGCTTGTAGTGCGACAATGCACCGTCGTGACGCCACCGCAGAAGCTGCACAAGACGAGGCGCTGGAATGGCAGCGACAGTGGCCAGTCCCCACTGCCACGCGTGATGCTCGTCTACATACTCATACGCCACAAGGTCGTTCACAGAGACATGGGCGTGACAAGGCCCGCCACGCAACGTCTCAGAAGACAACGAAGCCACTTTAGAACCCTTCCGTGCGGCAGCGGCAACTGGAAGGAAAGAAGCAGGCGGTGTGGAAGCGCAGGCTGCAAGAGACGTCGATGCCTTCTTTGTCCGCTTCATATGTAAGACTCCACCTTGCTTCTCAGCTGGAATGCACACCAATTAGAATTACTCCGCGGAGCCTGCCGGTGTCTCCGCCCCGCTCTCAGTTCCTCTCTAAATATCACTTTCTAATGCCCGGCACCACGCACTGAAGATGCCGCAAACACGCAGGGCCAATGCCGTATGGCCGCTCTAATGTATTATTGTGCTTCACGTTATTTGTGTTTGTTTCTTTTTCGTACTTGCCCTCCCCGTTGGGTGGAAGGACCTTGTGTGGCTGGTGTTCACTGCCGCGTGGGGGAGTTCAAAAGCACGGGGGGGAGGGGGAAGAAACAACAGGAAAGGTGCCACATGTTGCGCCGCAGAGCGGCATGCCAAGGAGGCGAGAAACACAACTCTCTCCCCACCCACCCACCTCCACACATAGGCGGAGGGAGAAGCAGCGAGGAAGGCACCCGCCGCCGCCGCCGTACAGCAGCCATATAGAAACAAACAAACAGGCAAAAACAAAAAACACACGCATCAAATATTTCACTTTAGTTACGTATTTTAGTTTTGCTTAAATACGTGCAGGGTGGATGCGGTTCTCGTGTGTGTGTGAGAGAGAGAGATAGATAGAGGGAATAAAAGTAAATAAATAAAAGGAGAACAAACGGGTCCACCCGCCAGAGACTCCCGCAGGGCAAGTGCAAGAGCCACATGTGGCAGGCCCCAGCACACACACACACAGCAGCAACTTCTACAGAAAACTCCACCCAAAATAAAATGTTTACGGCGGAAAGAGGGAGGGGAGACAAGCGGGCGCTCTCCAGCCCCCCCACCCCCCACCTCTGCGCTTCTAAAGTGACTGCTGCTGCCATGGCTCCGAAAATGAGTGCGTATTTGCCCCCGAGACAAACAAATATACCAAAAAAAAAAAAGGAAAAATAGTGGTATTGAAGGTAATAAGTGTGTAGTGAAATTACAGGCGTTCACGAAAAAAAAAGCGCATAACAGCGCTTAGTTGTCGCTTCCTTCAGGTAGTTCCTTTATTTTATTTTTTCTCCTTTACTCTCCCTTGTTGGTGTTGGTGTTGGTGGTGGTGTTGTTTAATTTACTATTTATACATATATATATATATATATGTCTTATTTCCTAAAGGGGGAAAGAATTATCCCTCCGCTCGTACGTGCGTGCGAACTTGCATGCCCTCATCGCTTGCAGTCTCAGTGTGTGGGTGAGTGCGTGGCCGTCATGAATTCCTGCAGGGCTGACTCGCCAAGCGACCGCACCATTCGAGCAAGCCGCGAGCCCGCAGAGCGCACGAGTTCGTGCGGCGACCCCACCTCCACCACGCGGCCCTCCTCCATCAGCAGAATCATGTCGTACGTGGCGACGGTGTGAAGGCGGTGGGCGATTGTAATGACGGTGTGCGCCGCAAAGGCGTGGGTCACGGCGTGCTGAATTTGTTTGTCCAGCGCAGGATCAACGTTGGCGGTAGCCTCGTCCATCAGAATGAAGCTGCAGCCCCGCCGCAGCAGCGCGCGCGCCATGCAGAGCAGCTGCCGCTGGCCAACGCTGAAGTTTGTGCCACACTCCTCCACAGGGTACCGCAGCGGATCCGTCCCTGCCGCAAGCCGCTCCTCCATCCCCACCAGCCGTATCGCCTCACGCACCTGCGCGTCGCTGTGGAGGCTGAGCGGGTCAAGATTGTCGCGCACGTTACCGTTAAACAGGAGCGGGTCCTGCGGGATCATCGAGAAGAGCTGCCGCAGCTCACGCAGGCGGTAGGCGTGAATCGGGCGCCCCGAGAGCACAATCTGTCCACTCTCAATCTCAACTATGCGGAGCAGCGTCAGCAGCAGCGAGGACTTGCCACTGCCCGTGCGGCCAATCACGCCGACCTTCTGCCCGGGGGCAATGGTAAAGCTCATGCTGCGCAGTACAGGCGGCAGCCCCGCGCGGTACCGCATCGTCACCTCGCGGAGCTCCACAGATCCCGCCAGCATGCGTCTGTCGCCGTCACCTGCGGGGGAGTAGAGCGGCGTGGGCGCAGCATCCCCTGCATGGCCCTCAGGGGCCATTGACACCGCCACCGTCGCAGCGTCATCCTCGCCGCCGAAAGGCGTTCCTGCCGGCGTTGTGAGAGCCCTTTCCCGCCCCTCCCGCCCCTGCGTTTCCAGCTGTAGGATGGCCGCATCAATTTCCTCCAGAAGGTCCTCATGTTCAATGCCAGTCGTGTAGTGCAACACACGCTCGATGCAGTTCATGTCAGCCTCCACGGAGGCTGCCTGATTCACCACGTACTTCAGCTGTGCGCTGATGTTCACCGCCATCGTGAGACTCAGCGAGATCAACCCAACATCAACGCGGTCAAACCGCAGCATCACCAGCAGTACACCCACCACGGCCACAGACGTCAACACAATATTGCTGAGGAACTCTATGCGCACGGCAAGCCAGCAATCGCAGACTATTTTCATGTAGGAGCAGGCGTACACGGTGTCAAGGCGCTGCAGTGCCTCCGTCATGAAGGCGGTAGTCCGATCGTACGCGGCGATGGTCCACCGGCCGGAAAGCATCTCGCCAAGCACGGAAAAGAGGGGGGAGTTGGAGCGGTTGGAAATGCGACACATCTCGCGGTTGGCGCTGTTGTAGAACACCATCAGCCTGTAGTACACCACAAGGCACGGAACAAGCGCGGCGAGCACAAAGTACTGCGAACTCGCCATCACGACAATCGCGGAGATAACCGAGAAGATAGACCGAAAAAATAAGATGAGGCCTCCCTGCAGGTCCGAGTCAATGTTGTTAATGTCCTTCGAGAAGCGGTTCAGTACACGGCCCAGAGGCGTTGTGTCAAAGAATGACATGGGCGCCACCGCGACTGACCTCAGCAGCTGTGAGTGCAGGCGCCAAGATCCAATTCGCAGAACGGCGTAGGCTGAGGCGTTACGCAGCGGGGAGGTCAAGGCGCTGGCGACAACAAACCCCACGTACACCAGAAGGTACGTCCTCGACGCCAGGTCGAACCGCCTCACCGACCAGAACGAGAGCCAGAGCGAGGGCAACACAAGGACAAACTCCGTCACAAAAAAAAGCAGAAAAACCAACCCGCACAAGGTGATCCCGCCGCATGTCTCCGCGTAGCGCACGTACAACGACCACGGCACCGCACCCACCGCCTTTTCCTCCTCGGTCATTAGTTTCCCCCCCACACTGGCGTCGATGCTCCCCTTCGCCTCCGTTGCTTGCCCTTCCTCATCAACACCGTCGTCGAAGACGAGGTCGCCGGCATTAACCGTCGCATCGCTGTTGCTGTCGCTGTCGGTGTGGGTGTCTGCCCCTTTCGTCTCTTCTCCCGTCTCGCGGGCTTCAACAGGCAACGATGGTGCAGCAGCGTCGGCGGCGGCAGCGGTGACGAGTTTTGTTTCGCGGCTCGCAGTGAAGCGCTTGTATGCCTCGAACGATCCCGTGAAGGCGATGATCCCGCCCTCCTGTAGCACAACGATGTGGTCTGCATGGTGCAACTGATGCAGTTGGTGGGTGACGAGCAGCCGCGTCTTTGACCGCAACTCACCGAGGATGCACTCATGCATCACCCGCTCTCCAACGTGTGCATCGAGGGCGGAAAGGGGGTCGTCGAGCAGGTACAACTCCCTTCTGGCGGCGTACACCGCACGGGCGAGACTGACGCGGGCCTTTTGCCCGCCGCTCAGGTTGACGCCCTTCTCTCCTATCTCCGTCTCCACCCCGTTTGGGAGCAGCCCAATGTCCGACTCCAGCTGAGTGCACCGCAGCGCACGCCGAAAGCGCGCCTCGTCCATGTCGCCAAAAAAAAGGATGTTTTCCTTTACTGTGGCATTCATGATCCACGCCTGCTGAGGTACGTAGGCGATGCCTGGCACCGAGCGAACACGGCCGGAGGTCACTTCGTGGCCACCGAGCAGCGAGTCCACCAGCGTGGACTTGCCGCTGCCGGTAACCCCGATCACGCACGTAAGCTTCCCCCTCGGAATACGCAGTGTGACGTCGTGCAGGAGAACCTTTGCCTGCAGTTCATAGTACTCGCTGGAGCCTGTGGCCGCTGCGACGTCGCATCCCTTCTTTGCCGCAGCCCGCACCATCTGTGCATTCGGCGGGAGTTTCTGCGGTACATATGTGGAGATGGTGGCACGTGTGAACTCCGCCGCCACCGATGCCATCATGGGAGTTTGCATCAGTGCATTGATTGCCTCCTGCGGCTGCGCCTCGCGTTCGGCCGCGTGCTGCTGCAACATATCCCGCAGCCCGTCATCGGTGTCTTCGCACTCAATGAACTTCGTGATGCGGCGCATCGACACAACAAAGCGGGCTACGCTGGAGAAGGCTAACGGAATCATGATGAACGGGGTTTGCATAATGCCAAGCAGTGAAAGTGTTGGGAAGACAATGGCGGGGATCAACTCTTTCCCGGTCCCACTGTACAGCAGGAAGACAACGGCCACGACAAAGGCGGGGATGGCGTTGGTGATAAACGCGATGGCGACGTACAGCAGCTGCAAGACCCGCAGTGAGGCAAGCTCTACCCTTCGCTTTTCGTCGATGCGTTGAATAAAGGACGGCTCCCACGACATGAACTTCGCCACCCGCACACCGGAGAAAAACTCATTCGTCACCTTCAGCCGGGCATCTGTCGCCCGTGAGAGTCGGGAGTACACGGCGTGGTAGCGGCGCATGAGCAGCCCCTGCACCGGCATGAAGAGCAGGAGGACGCCAAAGCCGGCAAAGGCGCACCAGCCGACAAAACGGTACAAGAGCACAAGGGAAACGATGAGCTGCAGCGGAGCACCAAACATGATGGGCAGCATCAGTGGAAAATTTCTCGCGTTGCTCACGTCGCTGCTCACCATGTTAACAATGCGGCCCACGCTCATCTCTGGGTGCGACAACGCCTTGCGTGAGATGGTCCCACACTTCTCAAAGAGAACCCCCTGTAGAGCGTTCTGGAAAGTGTAGCCGATGCGCCACCCGAGCTGTGTTATTTTGCTGCCCAATGCACTCTGCACGAGTGTGAGGAGCGAAAAAGCCAGGACAAGCAGCATTCCGTCACGCCAGCTCGGATGCGCCACCTCAAGGTAGCGAATATAAAACTGAAGCACCACCGGCACGGCGAGCTGGCAGGCGTCACGCAGCAATCGAAGGGGAATCAGCAAATAAATGTGGTAACCAAGCGCACTGAAGAGGGCACGTGCGACAGACATGCGCTTCGGCCGTTGCTGTGTGGTGACCGGCATGCCACCGTGTCGCTGCCTTTTCTCCAGCATCGGGCAGGTAATAACGATGTCCTCCACGCGCTCACAGGTGGCGGTGGCGTTGCCGGAGACGGTGTGAAAGAGATGCTCTCCCTCCACAATCCCGTTTGTAAAGGGGGTGCGGGACGCGTCCTTGGCTTCCTCCTTCAGGCGGTGCGCCGGCGACATACGCCATTCCACCCCCGCGTACAGCTGCCGCGGCGTCCGCTTCTGCTGCGCGTACCCAACCCAGCGAAGCTCCCCTGCGCTGCTGCGGTCCCGGCGGTGGTGCACCGCCACCCCAATGTACGCATCCCACACATGGCGCCGGAAGTGTTGCTGCTGCAGCACCCGCGACACGATCAGACCGACGTTGTACGCACGGGACATCTGCGTTGGCCGTGGCATGTCCGCCTCACTGAGCTCCTCCCGTGCAGCACGGAACATGAGGTCGCCTATCCAGGTGTAGTATATCTGACCACAGAACCAGCTTGCGGTGTCCTCTGCTTGTAATTTATACGGCGGCTCCGGCCCCCATAACTCATTCAGCCGCTGCTGCCGACGATGCCGCTGCGTATTCAACTGTGCTTCGCGGTTCTCCAAATTCCGCATACATTCCGCCGCCATTTCCTCCTGCAGACGCTGCTGGTCACTCTGCCCGTCCTCCAGAGTGAGCAGTGGCACCCGCGCCTCGGCATCAGCCCCACGAACCATTTTGCCTCGCGTACCTTCTGCTTCCTCCCTTTGCTGCTGCCGCCACTGCTACTCTCACCTTGCACCCGCCGCCTTGCGTGTCTTCCGGCGGCCAAGTAGGTTCAAGTGTGTGTATACGCGTGTGCTTGGATGTATACAAGGTTGTATAGTTACTACACGGTGGCGATCGTTATATATATGGGTGTGGGTGTGGGTGTATTGTTTGCTTTTTGCACTTTCAAACCCCTCCCCTTCTATTCGTGGTGTTTATATGTGTAGCTGTTGCTGTTGCTGCCTCGCACAGTTGGAAGGTGAAGGGCAGAGAACGGTAGGTGTACACAATACAAAGCAAAGACAATAACAAAAAAAACGACAGAAAGCCCTGTTCGCTGCGGCGCCGCCAAACGCTTCACGCGCGGCGGGGAGACACGCAGGGCAAAACAACACGCACACAGAGAAAGAGAAAGAGAAAAAATCAACAAACATTGTCGTGTCGGAAGGAAAGAAAGAAGAAAGAAGAAACGAAGGAAAATCAACGCTCCACAAGGCACCGTAAACAACTATACCTAACACGCATGTGCATGAGGGAAGCGAAGATGTACAGATATATCGATAAATGTATCAGCGTGGAGGCGTGGATGGGCGGATACGCACAGAGATGGTTTCCGCGTGGACACGCCATCGCAACCGCTGCACCGCCGCACCACACACATTTGATGCAGTTACGCAAAGCGGCAGGCATGCATGACGAGACCCGCCCAGCGGCCGTGGCACCGACGCCGAGCACGAGGCAAGTCCTGTACGTGCCACAGCAGCAAGGAAAGGACACGGTGCTCGGTGCTTTAGCGGCCACTCGCCGAACGAATCTGGCTGCGGCGCCCGTCAGCTTCACTCCACATTGAAGCGGAAACAGCACAACACCACCCTCATAGCCTCATCCAACAGCCTCGTCCAGAGCGTCCAAAACGGCGGTTCCAGCGGCAGTCATGGCATGTGCACCTGCCAGCTCACTTGCAGCCACGGCGCGCCACAAGCCAGCAACGCTCAGGTGCAACTGAAACAAAGCAACCTGGAGAGCGCCTCGGCAGCAGCGTACTGTTGCGCCCACGGCAAATACAAGGCTCAGCTTCGCCTGCTGAACGGGATGAAGGTGATGCCCGAGCCGAGTGGAACCCTCCACAACACGCCTTGCGCTGCCCATCGTAAACCACACCACCACTTTCACTGCGTCAGGCAGTCGTTGTAGCGCACGCACGCAACGCATGACCACCCCCACCGGCAAAAAGTGAAGAAAAGGCGTAAATCCTGCAATGCGTGGAGCTTGCACAGCGTCATTAGTTTCGCCAAACTGCTCCGGCGACGGGAAATGGTGCGCCTCACAGCGTGGTTCCATGGAGGACGGCGCTGGCCTCCATAAGGATGATCTGCGTAAAGATGTGAAGTGTGGTGTGTGGGTGTCGCGCCATTCATCGCCGCATGGCGGGTTCATGCGCCCCGCCCTGTTGAGCGACGCTTCCCGCTCCATCTGCAGAAGATTGGCCTCTGATGCGGGGAGGAGCATCAGCCGCTCGTCAAACCCCGCGGTGAGGATGCAGAGCACTGTTAGGACCTGCTTGAGAACGATGTCAGGGTGGCCGCGAGACTCCTGCCCGCCACACAGCCGCTAGAACACCCTGAGCCTGCGGCTCCGCATGCCTGCCTCCTCCGCCCCACAACATCGCGTCGAAGTGCTCCAGCGACGTGGCAGAGCGCGGTGTTTAGGACCGCGATTCGTGTGCCCGACTGGTGTCGGGGGAGCCGTGACAAGTTCCGCGGCGGAGAGAGGCTGCCCTCCAGGTGTGCAGAAACCGCACTCGTCGCCACCGCCGCTGCAGCAGCAGCAGCCGTCGTTGAAAATGAAGAATGGACCCTACAGCCACTCGTATCAGCACCTGCATGGGGGGGTCAGGCTCTTCACTGCATGGAACTGTTGATTGCTGCCGCCGCGCCGCGAATGCGACCCCAGGCTCTCGCTGTGCGACACGACTGAGACGAGGTTGGGCATTATATCTTCCTTGCTGTGTTCCGAAATCAAAACGAACAACTTCCGCGCGGCGTTGTCTTTCACACCGGTGTGTTTGAATGCGGCTCGCCAAGTGTGTCTCGCACCTTCGTTGGATGCATTGCATCCTTCACCGCGGCCAAATGCCAAAGCGCTGACAGAACGCCGCCTCCACTCCGCCGCAAGTGTTGTTCACAGGCTGCAGGGCCAAAGCAAAAAAAAAAATCGAAAAGACAACCGCACATATACATGCACGCATACAAACATCAAGAGAAAGAAAAAAAAAGGCGCAACGGAGAGGCTGGCGTTAGCACACGTTCTACGGGCCGTCCACACCGGCGGCAAGCGATGGGGGACGGAGAAGAAGTAATGCACAGAGAAAAAGTGGAGAGAAGGGGGGAGTAGGAAACTCTGTAGAAAAATTCAAGAAAAAAGGGAGGCGTGGAAACAAAACCGATGGGTAAGAAGAAGGTGTGAAGGACGCACAAAGGAGGATGAGGCGGCAGAGCCAGACACACACATTTACAACAACAACAAAAAAAACAAAAAAAAACAAAAAAATGCCGTCCGCATCCGCATCCGCCGCACCGAGTCCCGCACCTTTTGCCTCCCCATCACCCACCCACGCAGCGATGCGCTAATAAAGGGAGTCATTGCACACATCACACACGCGCACGCTTGCACCACACAACACATCCTCCAAGCTTGTCAAATAAGTAGCTCTAACCTATCAAACCCCAAAAAGAAACGAAAAGTAAAGAAACGAGTCACCACTGATTATACCACAGAAATCAACTCCACCCCCTTTGACGCTCAACTGACGGTGTCAGTGTAACTTGGGAACAGTAGCCCCTAACTTCCTACCTTCCACGCATCATTGTGTGAAGAGCCTTTCCAAAGATGCATGTGTGTGTATATATACATACATATAGTTATAGCTACAGTTATATGTCTTCATCGTCGTCCATGACGTGCGTGAGCCAAACCTCGTTCTTTTATCATCGCCTTCCATGCCGTCGTCTCCTCCTGGTTCAGCATTCGACGCGATCGTCGCTCATGGGTCTCTAGCAACAGCTGTTGAATACGCAGCTTTCGTAGCAACTGATTCGCCTCTCGCTGTGCTCCTCTACCACCTGCCAAAGCATCGCTTGTGTCGCTAAAACTCATTGGCAAACGTCGTGAAGAAGCAGGGGGTTTACCGCACGCTTCCGCCCCGCCGCATCTAAAGGCATTCACTGGGGACGGCATGGGAATGGCGTACATCGTTACCAGCGCCTCCACGTCATCCGGAATTCGTATCGAAGCGAAGCTGATTGGCGGCACAAAGTCAGGCGGTGGTGGAAGGTGCTCAAGGGAGGCGCACCATAACATGTCAAAACACCACCATGGGTCCTCATCAGCGCCCCACGAGCTATCGTCCTCCTCATCCACCTCTTCATCCAGTGCCGCCGCCGCCTCCTTCGTCTCCGCTTCGGTGAAAGTTGCAACAATAGCGCCCTCGGCCTCCGTTTCCCCAGTGTTAACCTCCACCACCTTTCCACCGTTGTCCCCTGCAGCGGCAGCGTCCGTCGCCACGTCACTCCAACGCGAAATAACGTCAGCTCCACTGGAAGAAACGCTGCTGCTTACCCCACAGGGGTAGGGGGGTTCGTGTACGGTCGTCATCAGTTTCATGGAGGCGTCGGGGTCTTGCCTCCGCGGCATACCCCTCTTCTCCAACACAGTCCTCACACACTCCAAGACAACCTCGGGGGGAGCCATCTGCTCACCCGCCTCAGCCGCCTCAACCTCCTCAGCGTAAAGTGTAGGAGGTGAGGAAACAGCCGCAGTACGGAGAGAATCCATTGACGGTGGCCGTGCTAGTCGCCACACGGCTTCCTCCTTCCCTATAGGTTTGATTTCAACTGCTTCCCTCTCCCGCAGCGCCTTCTGATGGAGCAGGCGGCGGTCACGCTCTTGGAGAACGAGGAGACATAGTTGACTAACTTGGCGCGCAAACGGCACCCGTGCGGGATCAGTTCTTCTAGCCGTGGAAGTGTTCCTGTCTAGTGGGGTGACAAACACACCATTGTCACGCGCCACAGCAGAAGTCGCCCTCCATAGCTCCTCCTCCCGCTGCTGTTGCTGCTGCTGCTTGCGAGTATCACTGCCGTGAGGATGGTGCAATATTTGTGCTGGTGGCTCCCGCGCAGCCTTTATGATCTGTTTTGATGCTCTCCGGCTCTGTCCCGGTGGTGCGGCGGTGGACTTCATACACATGAGGATAGATCCATTACTTGCCGACATGTCTGTGGAGTCCGAGCAGGGCCCATGTGCAGTATGCACCGTGGTCGGGGTTCGGCGTGAGTTCAGCGACGGCATCACGAGACAGCTGGACCCCCCTCTGACCGTGTATCGGATAAATGGTCTTTGCCCGGAGTTGCCAACAGCGGCGCCGACGCAAAAACGGAACGGCGAAAAGGCAACCCCCTTCTCCTCACCCTTCGCTGTTAGGGAGTCTTGTGGTATGGTGGGCGCCGTCGCCAGACGCTGCAGTCTGGCTCGGGTTGTCGCAGCAGGCGCGACCTCACGCAATGTTGGCCGGCTGACGATCGTCGGTCTCAACATCCGGCGCGACTCACCCCCACAGCTGCTGACGGTATGCGGTGTGCCCTCATCCACAGACGCGCGCCGCCGCATTGAGGGAGTCTCTACAATACCGCTTTGCTCGCCGTTGCCCCTCGGGCGCCGTTCGACGCACAGGGATGCGGCGCCGCCACGTGCGTAGTGTGCAAACGTCCTGGGAAAAACAGCTGCTGGAGGCGGCGGTGGATGCGACGACAACAACGAAGACGAAGCCGCCGTTAACTGCATGCTGCAGCTCGCAGTTCGACGCAGCACCCGCGCCTTTGCAACCGGCTCCGCTTTCGGCGACGACGTCGCCGCGGCCAGGCCACCCCTCACTTTCCGGGTTGGGATGTGGCCGTGCTCCATTGCCTCTGTCGTTGAAGTTGAGGCGATACAGCAGATGGAGCGTCTCCCGGGCGACGGCGTCAGGCGGTCTGTGCTGCTGCAACAGTTGCTACCGGGTGACAGAAGCGACATTGCAGAGGGAGTTGCACGCGCGTCTCCGCACCGCGCCGCAGCAGCACGGGACGGCGCCGTACGCCCCACCGTCCACTTCAACGGCAGCTGCCGCCGCACGGTGCAGGTCTCCAGCGGCATCCCTGCGAGCGTGCAAGGCCCCTTCCCGCTATTCATGTAGGAAAGGCAATAGTAAACTAAAAAGTGTCTACCTGTGTGTTTCCGCAACGTTGTCTGCCTTGCAGCCCCCTACCCAGCCCTGGTAGACGGAGCTGAAAGAAAACTTCCACCCACAGAAACACACACAACTGTCCTCTGCCCCACACGGCAGTAGAATCAGTACTGGGAGGAAGGAAAGGAAGTGAGAGTGAGGTGCATCACATGATGGTAATGGGTGGGAGCAAAGCCATCAAACGCGCACATGCAACCACCTAAGTGTACGCGTGCCCTCTTCTGTTTCTTTTTTAAAACTTCGAGCGCTCATCTGTGCGCGACTAGCCGTAAAGGGCCATGACACACCTGACGGCACAAGGGCCCGCACCTCGGCGGTGAAAACATCAAGCGGCGAAGTCACCTCCTCGCATCACGCCCCTCATGCGTCACACACAAAACACTACTCTTCTCTGCATGCAAAGAAACCTCACCTCATCCCACACCCACACGGCGTTGGAGTTGCTGCTGCTGGCGCAGGAGGCCGCTTCTCCGCACTCCTCGCCCCATTAAGCTTCCCCCTCCTGTCGACTGAAGGCCCGGACTGTGTGCCCAGCGCCGGCCGCCCCCCACTAAAGCACAGCTGCTGCACAGTGAGAGGGAACTTGACATGGCCGTGGCGTGCCCGCTGCGGAGCTGCGGACTTTTCTCTCAAGCCGGAGCGCGTGCCTGCCCCCCGTGCTTCTCATTGCCTGCGCCTCCGCTGGGGCCAGAAAAAAACAAATGCCACCTCGCCCAAGTGCGGGGGCGCAAACACAAACCTCCGCAACGAAGAGCCAACGTGCCCAGCTGAACCAAACGCCCTCATGACACTGCGGAAGCGGAGCCCATCGCTCTGGGTGAGGCCTGGCCATTTAGCACCATGAAAAATACAAACAAGCACCACGCCGAAAGGTGCCCCAAGTGTGTGACGAGTACAAGCACCGGGAGATGCCATCTCATTCACATTTCCCGTCACCGTTATTTGTGTGTGGGCCCTGCGTTTGACCACCACCCTTCTCTATTTGGGGCACCGTCCAAGACGCGGTTGC